CCGACATGCTAGCAAATTTAAACCATACATACACAAATTAATCCAATCTGCCGAACTATCCGAGGCGAATATTAACAGAAACAGTCAACGGCTGGCTTCGGTAAGTAGAAAAGCGTACGAAACAGCTTATGTATAAAGGTAAAATGTGACGCTTCTCGTGTTGTTTTTCTCAACAGGCAGGCAGACAGGCAACAGACGGTCATTGTGTCGGGAAAGCGATTTCACGTATGTTTATGTTATGAATACTGACGCTGGATTTTTCTTCAAAGTCTTTTGATTACTTAACGTTACTGGTTTGGAAATTGCAATAGAAGCTGTTTCGTTGATGCCTCGTTAGTATATAGTTGGAGTAGGTGAAGATGAGCAATGCATGACATTATCGGTCAAATCTTAAAATAGACTGTAATTTGAAGGTCTTTTAGACTATAACAAAAACAGGTGTGACAAAAGGTTGAAACTAGCTTTAACCCCAGCGTGTAAAGACTAACTTTTATAGGCATCTATAATGGCTACACTAACGTCATCGGTCAAAATTGCAATAACATTTTAAAATATTACACTTTTATTTAGATTTTATATTAACTGTTGTAATGTATTTTAAAACGTAATTAACTAATGTGATTTAAATCAATACATCAATACTGTCCTTACCATCCTTCTGAAATCACATATAGATAAATACACATTTTATTTAATATATATATATATATATATATATATTATTATTATTATCATTGTGCTGCCTCATATTTTGATGCAAAACTATCAGTACAAAAATATTAATACAAAATATTTTGTTATCATCAGTGGCACAATAAATTGATCAAAAGGTACAGTAAAATTATTTGTTACAAAATATTTTATTTCATATGTATATATGTATACACACACACACACACCTTTTACATAGACACACACATAGACCATTTTGAGGGATGTAAACAGTAACGGGGGTCCAAATCTATTTCCTGTTTTACATTTTTCATTTCCATATTCCAAGAATCCTGAAAGGTCTACATATTGATAAATAATGTTAGGATATGATTCAATTGCCTCTTGTTACAGTTATTAAAATTGTTTGACAACAAGCAGGAATAGTCATGGGCTAGTGACATCACCACATTGAAATGGTCTAATTCACAATATAAGAGGTTTTATTTGAGGTGAGAAGAGACTTTTTTTTCTAAAAGTATGTTTTTTTTTAAGTTTGACTGGCAGTATATACAAACACATATATTGTAAGTTGTTCTGACAACAAATTAATAAACAAAACAAAATCTGTTTATTTTTATGCTATAATCAATAGTTTTCCAAAAATTTAAAAACGTTTGTAAATATTGTTGCCGCTCAATGTATTGTTTTGTTTAATATAGAGCACTAATTTAATTTCTAAAATAACAAGAAATTGCTAACAGAACAAATCCTATCTTATTACAAGGGCTACTGGTGGGTTTCTGCATAAATGTGTTGAATTGAAGACTAGTTTATCTGGCTAAATAGGGTGAAGCAGAGTTTGATCTTGGATGTCCCGGGACCCAGTATTGCTCAGCTGCTGTATTTGGCTTGATGGAATGCAGAGCCGAGGCAGCTGTGTTATGGTGGGTATTTCTCAGCCAGGTGCAACATTAGACAGAAGGCCACTGATGGGTTAGACACACACACAAAGGGTGTACAATGGCAATAGATGGAAATGAGGCCCTGAGGGGTTCATAAAGGGATTTGCTATTGTTCAACAAGATACATAAACATCATCCACTGGTTGCCAGATCTAAAGGGTCAAGCAAATAAGAAATGATATGGAGGTCAATTTACCTACATACAAATACTGAAAAAATGTTTTGTGTGATAAACGTTTTTAAAGGAATCGTTCACCTAAAATCATTTTTTTTTTGTTAATTTACTTATCTGCAGGTCATCCAAGGTTTTATTAGCTGAATTTGTGGTCCTTGGGATTAATATAATGGCAGTAAATAGTAATAGGCTTTTAGATTAATTATAAATGCATACAAACAAGTCCAGACCAATAACCATGGCTTCTGATGACACACTGAGATCTTGTGAAGCGAAATGATTGGTCTGTGTAAGAAATTAAACATTATTAAAATATAATTAGCTTTAATCCAAAGCCTGGGCAAACAGATCTCTGCGCATGTGCAAATGTAGTTCTGTCGATATAATGTCGAAAGTGCAAAGGTGGTACTTTAACAGCAGTTCAGGTGACGCAGTTTGTTGATATTGGTTGATAGATATTGACAATTGCATCACCAGCTTTTGTACATTCGTCATCAAAAGCGACCAGTCTACAGTCTTCTTTAATATTCCACTGAAGATGAAAGTCACCTACATCTTTGATAACTTGAAGGTCAGTAAATTAACAGGACATTTTCATTCACATCAACTATCCCTTTAAGAAACCTCTGTGTTCAGAATGAATGTTTTGTACTGTTGATATGGCAGCTCCTGCTTATTATAGATCATGACATCTCCTTGATATGACAAGACAAGAAGTCAGGAAACATCTAGTGTCGGTCACTGTCACCCATCATGCTATTCTAAGGCCGAATGGTAAACATAGTACTAGTAAGCACTTTGGTATGCGAGTTACCCAATACCTGACATGTATGAAAGGAACGGGATGGTTGCATCATGACCATGACCTGCTGAAAACCAGAGCTCAGCTATACAGAGCTGCCAGATTATTTGTGAATTGCAGGATCATTATTTCTCATTGTCAAGAATCAGATAGATTGTTTGATTCTAAAAGTTTGAAACTATCAACAAGATTAGGGTCTGTACCATTTTTTTCATAGTTTTGATAAAAATATCCTATGATCATCAAGTCTGTATTGATTTGAACAAAACTATAGCACTGTCTAATATTACTACACTACAGCTGGATAAAAGGCTCTGTTTTACATATTTGAAAAACTAAAACGTTAACATTCTAAAAATAAAAATAAAAATTCTTGTGATGGCAAAGCTGAATTTTCAGAATCATTCCTCCAGTCTTCAGTGTCACATCTCACTTTCAGAAATCATTTGGATATGTTGATTTTCTACTTTGTTTATTATCTGAAACTTAGTATTTAAGTGGAAACCAAAATGCATATTTTTTTCAGGATTTAAGAAAAAATAGAATAGAAAGAGAAAACTTTTTTTAATAAAAACGTATTTAAAACTCCTTTGATCCATTTAATGCACCTTTACTGAAGATTTTCTTAAATTTTAAGCCCCTTAATTTAGTTTAAGCCTCCTATTATGTTATTATCGGTTCAAGTTTTAACATACAAAAAAAAGAAAAATACATTACATGTTTTAAAAAATGTTCTGTGGGAGGGTGAAAATTCTTGAAATACATTTATACAGTTGAAGTCAGAATTATTTGGCCCCCTTAATTATTAGCCTCTTGTTTATTTTTTACCCTCATTTCTGTTTAACGAAGAGAAGATTTTTTCAACACATTTCTACTTATAATAGTTTTAAAAACTAATTTCTAATAACTAATTTATTTTGTCTTTGCCATGATGACAGTACATAATATTGGACTAGATATTTTTCAAGACACTTCTATACAACTTAAAATGACATTTAAAGGCTTCACTAGGTTTAATTAGGTTAACTAGGCAGGATAGGGCAATAAGGCAAGTTCATTGTATAACGATGGTTTGTTCTGTAGACTACCGAAAAAAATATAGCTTAAAGGGGCTAATAATTTTGACCTTAAATTGTTTTGTTTTTTTTAATTAAAAACTGCTTTTATTCTAGTCAAAATAAACAAATAAGACTTTCTCCAGAATAAAAAATATTATCAGACATGCTGTGAAAATTTCCTTGCTCTGTTAAACATAATTTGGGAAATATTTGAAAAAGAAAACAATTCTAATAATTCTGACTTCAACTCTATATAAAATACACATTTTTAAACATTTAAAATGATTAATATATTAAAATAGATTAAAAATGCATATTTTTTCTCATACTAATTTATTTGAATAATATATACCAATGCAGAACTATCACACTGTAGTGCATTATGGAGAATGTATAATAATGATGTTTAATACTTTCCAAAAATACCCAACCTCTCAGGAACCCAGAACACGCACAAGTGAATGCATTATTCCTTAGCCCTGCACCACATAAAGTAGGTCTCTCAGTGAAATCTGTAGAGCTCTTCTTTTCAGAGCAGGTCTGTTTCACTGCAGTTTGTTGACCCTTTGGGGCCCCTTTCTTTCTCTCTCTCATCCGTTTTGATGAGCCAGCCTTCATAAAATTTCTCTGAGCTGCCTGCTGCATAGGTAAATCACTGCATGGAATGTCACATGGATTTTCAGCTTAAGTTAGGGTTGTTTTGTGCCTTAAGAGTCATGATTGTTTGCCACCTGATTTTGTTACCTGATCCTGGAGATGGAAATGCCATTATATTTTAAACTCGCACTGACATTGAAAAAAGCCTTTCTTTAGCTGTGTGCATTGTGGCTTATGTTGAGAATGTAAACATGTATATATATACATACAGTTGAAGTCAGAATTATTAGCCCCCTTTTGATTTTTTTCCCAAATGATGTTTAACAGAGCAAGGAAATTTTCACAGTATGTTTGATAATATTTTTTCTTCTGGAGAAAGTCTTATTTGTTTCATTTCAGCTAGAATAAAAGCAGTTTTTAATTTTTTAAAAAACATTTTAGGGACAAAATTATTAGCCCTTTTAAGCAATTTTTTTTTCAATAGTCTAAAGAACAAACCATCGTTATACAATAACTTGCCTAATTACCCTAACCTGCCTAGTTAACATAATTAGCATAACTTCAACTGTATATATATATATATATATATATATATATAGATAGATAGATAGATAGATAGATAGATAGATAGATAGATAGATAGATAGATAGATAGATAGATAGATAGATAGATAGATAGATAGATAGATAGATAGATAGATAGATAGATAGATAGATAGATAGGTAGGTAGGTAGGTAGGTAGGTGTGTGTGTGTATAAATAAAAATATAAATCATCTTCACTTTATATGAGCTAAATATTTAGTTAATACTTGAATACTTTAATATTTTGTTAATTTTAGTAGTAACTAATACTACTTAATGAACAATAAAAACATTGTCAGCCAATCAGAATCCAGTTGACTTTTATCAGCTCAACCTTTAGAAGACTTTGAAAATACAACACAGCATATTAAGTTGTAAAAACAAAATATTAAGTTGAAAGAACTCCTGCTATGATATTTTTTTTCCATTTACATTTCTTGTGTTTAAAAGAGCAGCTCTGACATTCGGCCTTTTTCGTTTTCTCAGAATACAGGGCATTACAGGGTTGGAATGAATGAGGTTAAGTAATAATGACACAGTTTTATTTTTAGCTGAACTAACACTTATAGAGTTGTTGCTGTATGAGCAGTTACTCAAAGTGGAGAAATAGAGAAGTTTCTGTAATCTCCAGTAAGGGAAGCTAAACGGTGTGCAGCCCCCCTCCCAGCCTGTGAAAATGGACACTCCTGGTGTATTTATAGACTAGACACGACAAGCACTCTTTCTTAAGAGCCCAACGGTTGCTCACATTCGTCATAACCACATGATATTTGGTTCTAGAAGCTACTCACTACTGTGTCTTTCACAAATTTAAATTTATTAGAAAATTTACAGGTAGGCTGAAACTTCAGTTTGTTTTTTTTTGTTTGTTTTTTTTAAGTATTCTTTTTAAGAAACTAGTAACACTCTATTTAAAAACAAAATTTCTCTGTTTAAAGATGACTCCAGCATTCTAACCAGACGGACACCAAGAGAATCACTGAAAGCAATAAGGGATTACTATGGAGAAACCGGTGTTACAAACACAGCCCTCTATGCTGCCCTTCTTCGACACAGCCCATGCAGTCAACTTGCTCCGTGGGATCCATGAGCTCCGTGCCGAGCGCAAGTTCTTCGACGTCACTCTGTGCGCCGAAGGCAAGGAGTTCCATTGCCATCGGACTGTGCTAGCAGCTGCCAGCATGTACTTCCGTGCCATGTTTGCTGGGACTCTTCGAGAGAGCGTCATGGACCGTGTGGTGCTGCATGAAGTATCGGCAGAACTTTTGGGCCTCCTAGTGGACTTTTGCTATACTGGTCGTGTGACTGTCACGCATGACAATGTGGATCTCTTGCTCAAGACAGCAGATCTGTTCCAGTTCCCTTCTGTCAAAGAAGCCTGCTGCGCATTTCTGGAGCAGAGACTTGATGTTTCCAACTGCTTGGAGATCCAGGACTTTGCTGAGGCTTACGCCTGCCGCGAGCTAGCAGCTAGTGCTCGCCGTTTTGTGTTGAAGAACATTGTGGAGCTGGCAAAGAGCATGGACTTTGAACGGTTGTCGTGGAAGCGCCTGCTGGAGTTTGTGTCTGATGATGGACTATGTGTGGATAAGGAAGAAACAGCATACCAGATTGCTGTGCGCTGGGTCAAGGCTGACTTGCAACACCGGTTGCATTACTGGCCTGAGTTGTTACAGCAGGTACGACTGCCATTTGTTCGCCGTTTCTATCTTCTGGCTCATGTGGAGAGTGATCCACTTGTCTACTTGTCACCAGCCTGTTTGCGGTTAGTCAGTGAGGCACGCAGTTTTCAGTCATATGAATATGACCGCCATGACCGACCTGGTCATCGAATGCGCCCGCGTCCATCCACCGGCCTGGCTGAAATTCTGGTGGTAGTGGGAGGATGTGATCAAGACTGTGATGAACTTGTTACTGTGGACTGTTACAACCCACAGACCGGACAGTGGAGATACTTGGCCGAATTCCCAGACCACCTTGGAGGTGGCTACAGCATAGCCGCCCTGGGAAATGACATTTATGTGACAGGTTTGTATAAAGACTGTTTCCTGTTTAAGACAAACTTGCACTTGACAAGCAGCTTCTACTTGTGGTTTAATTACTTCATGCTAAGGTAATAGAAGAAAGCACAAATCCCCAAGCAGGCGAAGTGTCCAAACTGTTTACAACATGGCGGCCAATATATAAATAAACCCTTGTATATTTGGCCATGCAAAAGCATGGTCATAGGACATAATGTTCTGCCAGATCAGCAGTGGTCAACGTGATTTCAGGTGACGCATCGGATACCTTCTGGAACAATGCTTTAGTTGGGAAAACATCTGTCATTTCAGATCAGATTAAACTTAATGATACTGGTTATTAATATATATTGTAGTCTTGTTAAGGATTAATTGAAATATTTTGTAAAAACTCTGTTTTTCTAAAAGGTACATCTAAATTTAATCAAAACAGATTACAGTGCTCCCTCTCGATTATTCGTAGGAGTTACGTTTTAAAAATAGCCCAAAATAGGCGGAATCCACAAAGTAGTTTGCTTCATTTTATACAATTATTATAGATGTTTTAAGGCTGTAAAACCCCACCGCAAAAGGTAATCCATGTTTTGGGCGAGAAACCACCGTGCAATGCTATTCTTGAGTTAAACAATAAATCAATGCAGGTTAATCATTGATAAATTACTTTCCACTTGGAAAAATAACATTCCACTAGGTGGCAATATGCACAGTTGTTATCTACTGTGCAGAAGTTAAAGAAGAGCGCAGAAAAGCATTGCAAAAGACTAAAATGGACAGTAAATGTAAGTCCAGCTTGTTTTAAGCTCTCCATCTATTGGTTCTATCCTCATAGGAACTGTCATGTTAACAACATTTTGAAAAGAGCATAAAAACGCAATTTTACTGTGCAATGCAGCCACACTTAACAGCAGTAGTGTATACTTTGAGAGCTATACTGACGAGGCAGAAAGTGAAGTATATTGTTTTTTTTAATGCAACTTTATAACTAGCCTGCTTAATAAATCAACAAGTAATGCTGGAATTCACTGTAATGAAAAAAAATCACAATTCACTCAGTAACCTTTGCAGAAGAACACAGTCTAAGTCTGTTAGTGTAGGCAGGTTTGATAAATGATAGGAAAGAATGTCTATTCTTATTTGCTATTACGTATCTGTTTAAGCTTACAAACCTATTTTATTTATGACAGGTGGCTCAGATGGTTCACGTCTTTATGATTGTGTTTGGCGGTACAACTCCAGTGTGAACGAGTGGACAGAGGTCTCCCCTATGCTGAAAGCCAGAGAGTACCACAGCTCTTGTGTCCTGAAGGGTCAGCTGTATGTGGTCGGGTCTGACAGCACAGAACGTTACGATCATACTATTGACTGCTGGGAAGCTCTCCCGCCCATGCCCCATCCCATGGATAACTGTTCTACTACAGCATGTAGGGGACGCCTCTACGCCATTGGATCTTTAACAGGAGAGGACACGATGGCAATTCAGTGTTACGATGCTGAAAGCAACCGCTGGTCACTTCTCAACAGTGGAGAACTGCCTCCATGGTCATTTGCCCCTAAATCCGTGACCCTTAATGGCTTGATCTACTTTGTAAGGTAAGGTAATTACTATTTTCGGCACAGTTTTAAAATGTCATGGAAGAAGGATGTTTCTCATGATTATTGTTGTTTCAGAGATGATTCGGCAGAAGTTGATGTCTACAACCCACAGAAAAACGAATGGGACAAGATTAGTCCCATGACACAAGTATGTACATTTTTATGTTGTTTCACTCAAAGGTTTGAAATGTCTTTTGTTATCGTTTGTGTTAGCTTTTACTTATTCAGCTTCCTTTAAGGCCATACTTTTGCGACAAGTGCAGGCAGTAGATTCGGCAAAGCTTTCGCACAGTAGCATATTCTTTCCCAACCTTAAGGCTGATTAATAGTTTGGTGTTGAGTGATCGGCGTGACCCACTTCGCCTTTCTTGCGCGTAATCATGCATTTATACTTTTGTGCGCTGTTTGTGTTGCTGCAATAACCAAAACGCTAGCTGGCAGTAGGTTTTTGTTCCTCTATGTCAAGTTTCTTCCAGGTTCTTTTATTTTTTCTAAATGCTAAAAGTAGCTAAAACTTGTTTATTCAGAAGCAGGAACCGGCAGAGGTGCAACAAAATTAATCATAAGGTAAACGCAAAACAAATCTTTCCATCTTGAGCTCCTTCACGGGACTTAACACTTGTAAACAAATGCTCCATTGTGCTGGCAGCTCTCAGCACTGCCTACACTTATCAGCGCTATCAAGCCGACCAATCACAGAGCTTGAGATATGCGTCATTGCGACGTGTAGTTACAATTTTTGAGAGGTGCGTATCAGCCACGGCGAGGGCTATGCGACCGCATGAAGGCTGCGCCGGACCATATGTGTGCTCTTGAGGCAGAAGTATAAATCAGCATTTATGCGCACCTTATTATAAGTTTAACTATACGTCATGACGGTGCAGAGTGCAAGATCTGTGATTGGTCATATAGCTGGCTGAGATGATTGTTGGCGAGTGGAGCGAGGCCAGTGGTGCAAGTGTTCAAAAAGTCCAGTGGAGAACCTTCAGATAAATACTTTTGTTTTGTGTTTATTTTATGAGGAAAGTAGTTGAACATTTACCGGTTCCCTAGAAATACAATTGCCTACATTTTTTTAAAGTGTTATTGCAAAGCAACACAGACAGTAAACATTAAGTACATATGCTTCAGCTAGCCGAAGTACAATGATCGGGAGGTACAATGATCACTCAACTCAGAAGACTTAATTGGCCTTTACTGTGTAAAACTGTATGAGCATGAAAAGATTTCCAAATAAAAAGGCATTAAGTCCACTCCAAAAGCAGATAAAATCACAGGTATAACCACAATATTAACTTTTGATCTGTGCACTTTGTAGAAAATCTTGAGTGTATTTGACAGTTAATGCAAAAGAGAACTAAATTTAATACTTCCACCATCTGAAGCCTGCTTTCAGTCATGTATATGCACTCAGAACTGCAAATAGGGTATCTGGAGTCTGACCTGGATTGCATGCAAATGTTGTGTTTGTTTGTTGTCAGAACAACTGAGGCAAATGCTGGAAAACAGGTGCTAAAAAGCAGCTAATTTGCATTTAAAGACTCCATAAATTAGACACACCATGTTAGTTTAAAACTTAAATTTAAACCGAGTTAGTTTGAAACTTAAATTTGTTTGACAGAGTTTATTATTCTTTATTCTTATGAGAGACCTTATTCTTCAATGCTAAAGAGTGCTCGTTTTTCCGATTGTTTTAGAACTTTTAAATCAGTTGCCTATGGGAGAAATGAGTGGGAGTAATAAAGGCAGAAAATGGCAAACAATTAGCTCTACAAACAAGTGTGTTTCTGTCTATACATAAAAAGTAGAATTATGTAAAAAGAAAATAGAAAAAATGAAGGAAGGAAGTCTCGAGCCAAAAAAGACTTCAATGGCTGTGTCTGCTAGTACATGAAGAAAAAAAGTCAACAACATCTTGTAAAAAAGCAAAATAATGCCTCTTTCAGTGTTTCCACAATACAAAACATTTAAAAACTTTATTATATCGTGAAGTAGCCTCAAAGTTAATGAGTCAGCATAGAGCACTACAGTGTTTACAGTGATCTGTCTAATGTAAAGGTGTAATATAGCCTATTTTATTTAAGAGGGAAATAAAAATCTTACATTCACACCCCACAGGTTCATGTTGGAGGAAGCGTGTCAGCTCTGGGTGGTCGGCTCTATGTGTCCGGTGGTTATGACAACACCTTCGAGCTGTCTGATGTGGTTGAGGTCTACGACCCCTCTTCTCGATCATGGAGCCCGGCTGGCCGGCTCCCCCAGCCCACATTCTGGCATGGAAGTGTGAGCATATTCCGACAGTTCATGCCTCTTGTTCAGAGCACATTTGAACCCATCGACATACCCGAGGCCAACGCCATTCACCTCCACAGACACCACCGCAACCAGGCGCTTCACAACCACAACAACAACGTCAATCAGAACCACAACCAAGAAGTCAATCAAGTGCACTGAGAACTTTTCAGAACAACGAGACTGAAGGTCATTCAATGTGACGTTGCACTTTATCACATTCACCTCAACTGGGCAGCAAAGGGAGCTGGTAAATGGACAATCAGTGTTTGCATTATTTCTCCCAGTAACCCAGAGTTACTACAGCTTTAATTGTTGCATGCATTTCTAATGCTGGCTGTGTTTATTTTGAACAGGCACTTGAAATAGTGCCTATGATATCATGTTTGGCAGACTTAATGCAATTTACATGTATGGATTGCATGAAGCTCATTTTTTAAATTTTATTTTTTAGTAAATTAAAGGGGTATGTTCACACAATATGTAAAAATTCACTTCATTTAAGATGTAGGTGACTTAGATTTTCAGCGAAAGTTTTTTAGCCGAAGCCATGGCTATACATTGAGGTCTTATGAAGCAAAACAACAGGAATCTGAATGTTATTTGCAACATTAATATCTTTAATGCACAGTAAAAGTGCCAGTACATCTTTTTGCTTCATAAGACCTCACTGTTTAATCAAGATCAACTTATATTAATTTTGTTTTGCCTATATTATGATTATATGACTTATATGATTATATGAACGAATCAAAAAGGACCGCGCGGTTTTCAGCAACAATCTTTCTTAATGTTCCACTGAAGGGAAATGTCACCTACAATTAGATATCCTGAAGGATGATATAATATAATATAATATAATATAATATAATATAATATAATATAATATAATATAATATAATATAATATAATATAATATAATATAATAGTAAAACCCCAAGCATTCCAAAAGTTGAAACTTTGGATCACTTAGATTTAGGCATGGGCCGGTATAAGATTCTGACGGTATGATAACCTTGAATAAAAATGTCATGGTATTGTGATTACTTCTCTAAAATAAGTTAATTTTTAATGTCTGGGTAAAAAACCACAACTTTTTTCTCCCTATTGAACATAATATATATTTTATTTTAAAAAAAACATTTTAAATATTTTTATCAGTTACTATTGATGTAGAAGTTCCTTTTCTGCTGGAGATACTGTTGCCCTAAAAACTAAACAAAATAGTTGTGAAAAACATGTGAAGAAAAAATAAAAATAAAATAAGAATACCTTAGAATGGTATAATAGAAAACTTTTCCAAACCGCTGTAAACCTTGAAACCGGTTATCGTCCCATGCCTACTTAGATTGCTCAAATTCTGCAATATGGAAAACAAATGGTGTTTTATGTATGCAGAGTGTGAAATTAAATATTTTTAGCAATCCAAGCCTTTACATAAAACAACTGAATTTTGTTTGGCATAAAGGTAAAAATTGTGCCCCAGTGTAACTTATTTCTTTATCTATCTTTCTAGAAATGCATATGTCAGACAATCTAGTGTGCATGCTGTGGTCACATTGAATGTGAATCTGTATCAGACTTGCTTTTAAACTCGTTTTAATATAAAATGAAGTTTCTAGTTATCTAAACATTGTTTATTTAGTTTATGAGAAACTGCTTGTTTAATTAAGCTGATCATGAAGGATACATGAGGAGCAGATGACAAAATTGATTTCTTTTTGTCATTGTATTAGGATGCTGTATTAATAACTGGAACTAGTAATTCAGTATCTCACTATTCTTTAGTAAATATGTGTGTTTGACAATACCAGTGCTTTTTAAAATTATTATTTACATGCTTATGCGGTACTTTTATTTTATTTTTCTTACAACGTTTGGTTTGTTTTGTGGCCAAAATCGATTGTACAAGATGATGTACACGAAGTGATGACTTGTGTTTTTATGTGTGGTCAACCAATAAATGACGGCCAGCACTGTTACTTTTGCTCTTCTCGTGTGTAATATCTTGTTATTGTGCATTTTATTTTATTTTTTTCTTGGAAAAGAAAGCATGTTTTATTCATTTTTGTTTTATTTTCAGTATTGCACTTTCAATAGTTTCAATATATTAATTGAATTTAGCACAGGGCGAGGCAGTGGCGCAGTAGGTAGTGCTGTCGCCTCACAGCAAGAAGGTCGCTGGGTCACTGGTTCGAACCTCGGCTCAGTTGGCGTTCCTGTGTGGAGTTTGCATGTTCTCCCTGCCTTCGCGTAGGTTTCCTCCGGGTGCTCTGGTTTCCCCCACAGTCCAAAAACATGCGTTACAGGTGAATTGGGTAGGCTAAATTGTCCGTAGTGTGTCTGTGTGGATGTTTCCCAGAGATGGGTTGCGGCTGGAAGGGCATCCGCTGCGTAAAGACTTGCTGGATAAGTTGGCGGTTCATTCCGCTGTGGCGACCCCAGATTAATAAAGGGACTAAGCCAACAAGAAAATGGAAGGAATTTAGCACAAATATATATATATATATATATATATATATATATATATATATATATATATATATATATATATACAGTATATATACACAGTTAATGTCATAATTATTAGTGCCCCTGTTTATTTTGTTCGCCAATTTGTTTACCTGAGAGATTTTTTTTTTTACACATTTTTTTTCATAATGGTTTTAATTACTCATTTCGAATAACTGATATATTTTGTCTTTGCCATGATGACAGTAAATAATATTTTACCAGATATTTTTTCAAGACACTTCTATACAACTTAAAATTATATTTAAAGGCTTGCCTAGATTAATTAGGTTAACTAGGCAGGATAGGGGAATTAGGCAAGTTATTGTATAATGATGGTTTGTTCTGTAGACTATCGAAAAAATATATAGCTTAAAGGGGCTAGTAATTTTGTCCTTAAAATAGTGTTTAAAAATTGAAAACTACTTTTATTTTTGGCAAACTAAAACAAATAAGACTTTCTCCAGAAGAAAAAATATTATCAGACATACTGTGAAAATTTCCTTGCTCTGTTAAACATCATTTGGGAAATATTTTAAAAAGAAAAAAATATTCAAAGGGGGCTAATAATTCTGACTTCAACTGTATATTAAAAAATCTTAATTGTGTTCTTTCTAATTGAAATGTAATTTGAAGGTGAATTTTATTTTTTTTTTAATCTTGATTTTTTTTTCTCTTTAGTGCATTTTATTTATGTAGTTTAAAAATTAAAGCTTTAAACCATAAAACTATTAGAATAGACATACAAATGAAAAAATCCAACTCCATCTATTTTCAATGCTTTATTCCATTAAGCAGGAGTATACATGAAGCCTTACTTGTATTACAAAAACATCTTCAAATTATGCAATCCAGATGCTGAATAAATCAAGACATTCTCTTACAAGAATTTGGTCATATGCTATAAGTCTGTCAGACGTCTTCTAGCTTATAGTGCCAGTCATCAGTTAACTAGTACAGGCATAATGCATTACTACAAACAAACAAACAATCATCTGACCTGAAAAGTTGGCCTCGCATTAACTACTGATCCCACAAACAAAACTAAAGAGCTTGTGTCATGTTATATTTGACACAACCAAGTCCTCTGTTTTTATTTCATTTTAAAACGCATTTAAATGAAGTATTTGATGCATCATGAAGAGACTAAAAAGTCCAAGTATTCTGAAGGGATGATTTATATGGTGAACGGTTTTAATGAAGGCTTTGATACACAGAAAGCAATGTTTACCGCAATCAGATTCAATCATGGAAACTCAAGCATGCTGAGCTTCCAATGAGGTTTATTCTTACATCACATGGTACATTTGAACTATAAAAAGAACCAATAAGGTCTGTTCTAGTTAAGCTAATATGGTTGAGTTTTTACATGTTCATTGATCAATGTTTATATGAGAATAAAAGCCTAAATTAAATCCATTTAGGTCTTTTCAGAATTGGATTAAACCGCTTGATGCATATGGATTCATTTATGGACTGCATTCATTTTACTGTGAAGTGTCAAGAGTTTTGGATGAACATACCTTTAATGGAGGGATAGAAATCGCTCAGATTTGATTTTAAATAGGATTTTTCTTCCAAAGAGGAATGAAAGTGAAAGTTTGTGTTTGGAAGAATGTAAGAATGGGAAAATTCATTGTTTTCTAACATACAAGGCATTTCTTACTTGTTTTCCCATGCATGGAAGCTGTTTATTTACACTGAATAACTTCAAATTCCTTGATGTCTTTTTGTCTATTTTTTTTTCTGGAGTCAACGAGTCTCCTTCATTTAGTCTTTTCTATCAGCCTCAGTGTTGGGAATCTCCACCACCACATCGGACTGATGTATAGGATACGCCTCCTGTACGCGCACTAGCAGCGTCTGCTCCATCACATCTGCTACAGTAAACTCCGTCTGCGCGACTCCATCTTCTCGTTCAGCCAGAGCAAAGCCAGTCTGTTCAGCATTCACTGCTCCATCAGTGACAGGATACGAGGCCTGCTCTCCTCCTGTTTCTGCAGCACCCTCTTGCTGGATAACTATACTAACTATGTCTGCTGGTTCTGCCTGAGCCTCTGTCTGGACCGGAAGACCGGATGAAGCAGCTGCTGCGCTCGCGTCCTCCACAACCAGGTTACGTAATCTCCTCTGTCTGGGACTGTAGTTTTCCATGCGGTTGTGGATCTGAGTGTGTCTCCGCAAATGTGCCTGGTAAAGTTAAGATGGAGACACTGAGATCTTATATGGCAAGTTGGAAATGATGCGTCATAAATATTGGTGATGCTTACCTGTCTGGTGAACTTGTAACCACAAAGTGTGCACTCAAATTTCCTCATGCCCTTGTGACGCCGTACATGAACCCGGAGCTGCTCAATGGCTGATGGGGAATCATGGGATAGAAAAAGATTATTCAAGGGGCATTTTAAACCATTGCTTATTTTATTTTGAAAATGAAAGAAGATAGTATTTATGTTTGTGAATATTAATTTACATTAGAATTTAAAAATAAATAAAAAAAATTATTTATGTTACGATAAACATCAATTAAATTTATCTATTTTTGTTGTTTTTAATCATGTCAAGTTATAAATAAAAATAACATTTAATTTATCAAATATACAATTAAACACATTTTACATAATATGAAATGCTTATAATGCCATTTATATTAGGGGTTGAACAACTTGGAAGATTTTTGGAAGTCGATTTTTATGTTATCAACGTTGACTAGTCACTGCTGACGTCATCAATAAAACAAAAGATGAAAATGTTTTGCAACATGCAACAATTTGCAATTTATTTGCAGCAAATATATACACATGCTATTTGATAGCTCATAACATGTTGCAAAAACTATGCAACATTACAAATAGCTAGTGCAAAACAAGTGAATTGTAAACTATTTAGTTTCGAGATTAAAATCCTGTTCAAGTTGAGAATTTTTTTCCTGTTCATCTTAGATATCAGACGTCACCGTGTTCATCAGAGATGATGTTTACACATGCTGTGAAGTTTGCATACCTTCATACATTCACGGATTATTCACAAAATATGTCTGCGTCTACACTTCGCAAAGGGCAATAGCTAATAAAATTACTCTTCCAGAGTTGTGTAAATGGTCAAAAAACGACTAGAGCATTATGCGACTAGCCGGTGCAACCCCTAATATGTATATATATATATATATATATATATATATATATATATATATATATATATATATATATATATATATAAACTGAGTTTGTGTATTATCTAAATTAATGTATTTTAGATGTATTTTAGATTATTTTATATGGAAAAATAAATAAAAATACTTATTTACTTAAACAGGGTATATACAGGAGACAGAGAATGAAATTCAATACCTTTTAAGTCCTTTTTAAAACTCTTTCCATCCATTTTAAGACCTCATCTGTGACATTTTAACTTACAGTATATTTACTAAATACTGATTGTTTTCTGTTTAACGGAGAGAAGATTTTTTCAACACGTTTCTAACCATAATAGTTTTAATAACTAATTTCTAATAATTGATTTATTTTATCTTTGTCATGATGATAGTAAATAATAATTTTACTAGATATTTTACAAGACACTTCTATACAGCTTAGTGACATTTAAAGGCTTAACCAGGTTAATGAGGTTAACTAGGAAGGTTAGGGTAATTAGGCAAGTTATTGTATAACGATGGTTTGTTCTCTAGATTATCGATAAAAATAATAATTGTCCCTAAAATGGTGTTTAAAAAATTCAAAACTGATTTTATTATAGCTGAAATAAAACAAACAAGACTTTGTTCAGAAGAAAAAAATACTATCAGACATACTTTGAAAATGGCCTTGCTCTGTTAAACATCATTTGAAAAATATTTAAAAAAGAAGAAAAAAATTTGAAGGGGGCTAATAATTCTGACTTCAACTATATATATATATACTATAGTAAGCAAAGCAGTGTCAAAGCTAGCAGGATTGTATCGATTTCTGAAAAACTACACAACATCGCAATATTCAAAGATTAAATTCAAGCAAACATTAGCATACTGATACAAAATGTAATACCATGTAAACTAGCATTTAATACTTTTTAATACTTTTTAAGGGTCTTAAATTTCACTGAATGGATTTATCAACTTTTAACACGTTTTAGGACCCCGCGGAGACCCTGTTATATTCCTGTAACTACCTGAAAAGCATCATTGTTCAGCCTTCTGTCTCACCTTTAAATGTTTTGTTGCAGATCTGGCAAAAGTGTGGTCGACCTTCTTGGTGTTTGCTGGCTATGTGGCGTAAGAGAGGACCTTTCTCAGTAAAGCGCTGCTCACAGAACTCACAGCTGAACGGCCGCTCTCCTGTGTGTGTGCGGTGATGTTTGTCCAGACTGGCTGCTCACACGATACAAAAGTAATCAACAAACTGCAGTGATTTGGTTTTGCTTAAGGTTTTTGTTTGTGTCTTTTGGTTGATACCTTGAGTGCGAAATGTCTTCCCGCAGAGG